TTAGATAGGACATTCAGCACAAGAGATGAAATAGAAGATAGGTAGATTGGACTTGAACAAAATTTTGTGCTTCAAAGGACACTATCAAATAAATGAAAAGACAACCCACAGAATGGAAGAAACTATTTGCAACTCATATATCTGAAGAGGGATGTTTATCAAGAATATGTAAAGCATTCTTACAACTCAATAATGAAAAGCAAATAATCCAATTTTCAAATGAATTTCAATTGACATTTTTCCCAAGAAGACATATAGATGGCTAATAAGTACATGAAAAGATGCTCAGCATAATTAACCACTAGAGAAGAGTAAATCAAAACAATGAGTTATAACTTCACAGTTACTAGGATGGCTATAATAGAAAAGAGAGCTAAAAACAACTGCCAATGAGAATGTGGGAAATTGGAACCTTCGTGCACTGCTGGTAGGGTTGTAAAACGGTGCAGTCACTTTGGAAAACAGCCTGGAAGTTCCTCAAAGTTTAAACATAGTGTTAACATGATCTATGAATTCCACATCTAGGTATACACACAAGAGAAATGAAAATATATATTCACATAAAATCTTGTACATGTATGTTGATGGTAGCATTATTCCTAACAGCCAAAAAGTTGAGACAATGCAAATGTCTACTGAATGTTAAATGGATAAACAAAATGCAGTATGCAATATACTGGAATATTCTTGAGCAATAAAAAAAGAACAAACTATCAATATATGTTATAATGCAAATAGACCTCAAAAACATTATGGTTAAGTGACAATAGCGCATGACAATAGGCCACCACATGTATATCTTAGACTTCAAAAAGTTCATGGAAAAATGTGTATATAGTATTTATAATGCTGATAAATATGTAAATCTATGCATATGTATGCATATGGAAAGCAGGACAGTGCTTCTGTAGGGCTAGGACAGCAGATATTGAGAGATATTGGAGGGGGTGACTGAAAATGGGTACAGAATTACTTTCTGTACTAATAATGTTCTAAAATCAGATTGTGGTATGGTTAAATAAATCTGTAAATAAACTAAGAATGGACGAGCAGATGGCACATGGTTACATCGCTGGACTCCCACATAGTCGATCATTGTTCAAGTCCCAGATCCAGCGGCTTAAAACACACCGGGTGCATGTGCGTGTATGCCCAAGATCCCAAGAGGAGAATGAAGAAAGGACTGCAGCTTGGCCATCCTCCTTGGGGGTGATTTCTCACTTTCTGTCTCTCTCTTTCTGGCAAGCACACAAGCCCTATAGCAAATCAATCTCTCTAAAAAAACCCCCAGAAAATGAAAAACAATTGGACCATATACTTTAAACAGATGAATTTTATGGCATGAAAATTATTTTTAAAACTGTTAATACTAAAAAGGACAGCATGAATAAATTTAATAGATGGGTGACAAGATGAGACTTGTACATCTACATATGACAAAGGTTTAACTTTTTTTTTTTTTTTTTTTGCTACAGAGCACAAGCACTCGCTGGAGAGAGACAGAGAGAAAGGGAAAGCGAGAACAACCCCCTCAAGAGCGATGACCACACCTCAATCTATTCTCCATTCTCCTCTCAGGATTTTGCACATGCATGCACACAGGCCCAGTGTGTCTTTTGTTTGTTTTGTTTTGTAGATTTTTACCATAAGGCACGTGTGCTTGCCAGAGAAAGTGAGAGGGAAAGTGAGAAATCACGCCCCACCCCTCTCCGTGGGATGGCCATACCGCAATCCCCTCTCCTTCATTCTCCTCCTGGGATTTTGGGCACGCATGCACAAGCGTCCAGTGTGATCCTTATGATGCCAGGTTTGGGACTTGAACTATGGCCAGCCATATGGAAGTCCAGTGCTTTAACCACCATGCCACCTGCTGGCCCAGGATTAACATTTTGATATACAAGGATATTAATGTACAAAATGCAAGTCAGGTGGGAAAATATCAGCAATCTAAAAGAAGGGCAAATAAGATGAGCAAGCAGTTTACAAATGGCAAAACAATATGGAAGATGCTCAATTAAAAGCAAAATGGAGGGCTGGCCCATAGAGCATTAGTGGGATCTGGACCCCACATGGCCAACTCTGTTTTGAATCCCAGCCCGAGGCTTGAAAAACATGCCAGACGTGCATGCCCATGTGCCCCAAATCCTGATGGGATGGAAAAATGGAGGATAAAGAATTGTGGCATGACCACACCCCACTGGGGAGTACTTTCTCGTGTCTCTCTCCTTGTCTGTTTCTCTCTGGTGACAATAATTGTTTTTTTTTAATTTAAAAAGGAGAATTATTGTAGTCTACCACACTGACAAAAATTAGTAAATTAGATAATACTACCTGCTGATAAGCAGGAAAGGGACTCTTCAAACACAGCTAGTGGAGGAAACTAAAGAAACCATGTTGTAGCATGAAGTAACAATTTTTAATAATACAACATGCATATATCCTAGAACCAGGAATATCATCTTGCTTGCTTTCTCCATCTCAGAGAAACTCTTGCACATGACCACTTGGGTATACTTGCCACAGTGTTTGTGGCAGCATTGTTTGTGGGAGCAAGGAATTAAAGACCACCCAGTCTATTCTCAGGAGACTCCCCTTCCCCCTAAACATTGCTGTGGACACTTCCAATAGGAAACTATGTAACAGAAGTAACCAATTAGATGTACATCCAATGTTATGGATTGACTCTAAAATATAATGCTGAGGGGAGAAAAACAATATAAGATTTCTTGCACAGGGTGTTCGTTTAGTGAAGTACTTCAAAAGCAAAATATGACATATCTTTCAAAGCAGGGTTAGGCTGGGGTTAGTGTTAGGTTACTTTTCTACCTGGTTTGGATTTCATATATTAATATCCTCATGTATTAACCCTAACCCTAACACATATTTGAAGTATATTTGACACATATTTCTTTCTTTCTTTCTTTCTTTCTTTCTTTCTTTCTTTCTTTCTTTCTTTCTTTCTTTCTTTCTTTCTTTCTTTCTTCTTTCTTTCTTTCTTTCTTTTTTTTCTATAGGGCATGTGCGCTTGCCAGACAGACAGAGAGAGACAGAGAGACAGAAAGCGAGAAATCACCCCCCACGGGGGATGGCCACGCCACAATCCCTTCTCCTCCATTCTCCTCTCGGGATCTTGGGCACGCACGCACATGCACCCGGCGTGAGTTTTAAGCCACCGGGTCCGGGACGTGAACAACGGTCGACTACATGGGATTCCAGTGATATAGCCATTACGCTAACTGCTGGTTCCCACGTATTTCTAAAGTAGATATGATGAAAGGTGGTTAGCATGGTTGCTTAAGTTGGTGACTGGGAGGGCTTTGCAGGAGAAATGGAAGATAAAGGGGAACAATAATAATATAAAATGAAATTAAAGAGAGGTTCTCAATGGGCCAGGGATTATAGTGTGACATCAATTGAGGAGAATGACAATTCTACAGCTCGGAGTCCCCAAGGAAAATAAGTCCCATGCATTACCTCCTACTGAAAAACGTAATTTAAAAAAAATGCATAGCCCCGTGGGTAAACCAACAAATAATCATGCTATGAAGGGAAAAAGATGGTGGGAAGACGGCTCAGTCTTCAGCTGAGTCACTCAGTTCTCAGGAACAAGAAAGCAAGAACCTGGGCTGGTAAAAAGGAGGTGGGTGCTGTTTACAAAACCACCTCACCCACACACAGGAGGGATGAGAGCGAAAGGAGAAAACCATTGGTTCGACAGCTTAAACTCAGTGATTAGGAGGAAGAGAGGAGAGGCTCGGGAGTCAAGAACTCATGGAAGTCACAAAATTTAAGGCAAAATCTAATCGTGTGGCTCATGAACTAGCAGCATTTTCTAGAAGCAATGAATATGCAACACTATCCTATGTGGTGGGGCAGAGGGGAGACCCCACGTTTTAAGTTAGAACCTAGAATGATCTCTTATCAAATTCAGATGACTTCTTCAAAATCATTGAAGTTTTGTTTAATAATGGGCCTTATGATTAGATCTATGTGAGGAGCTGAACTCATTTTTATGGAGACAAAAGTTGGGTAAAAGGGGGTTTTTGGCATTGCCATACAAATACCATGTCACGAATGTAAGTGATGTGCCCGAAGATTTAGTCGCTTAGCACCTACGCCCATCTACTCAGGCCCACCACCACCTCCCTTGCAGGCAACTAGCATACAAAGGTACAGTATTTCCTCCTGCTAGGGGGTGGGGAACGCCCTCAGGGCAGGGGCTGCCTCCAAAGCCTTGGGGTGGAGCCCAAATCTTGCTAATGAGCTGTGTGTGTAGAGAGGAAGGTCTAAGACCAGGCTGTACTCCCTTTCTCGCCTCTGCTGGTCGGTTCAGGGACAGAAAGCTTCCTGACCCGGGAAGGAATCAGTGTCTGAGGGCACCCATCCCTGACCATCTCTCTCTGTCAGCCCTGGTTTTGGGGACCCTGCAGAGCAAGCCCCCAACTTCACCAGGGCATGGCCATAGGGGAGGGTGCTGCAGCCCGGCCTAGCTGCTTTCCATTCCTGTGATTCAGGGAAGTGAGCTGCCAGATTGCTAGGCCAAGAAACACTTGGAGGGCACCCCAGGTGTGCCCAGGTGCATCAGATCTGGGAAACTGAAAGGCAAACAACAGGAGGGATGCAGCCCAGCAGGAAAGATGAGTCTGCCAGGCAAGGACTCTGCCTGACATTTTACATCCAGCCTCGCACTTCGATTTTGACCAACACTCAGGTGTTCTACCAAAAAGCAAACGTGTGCTCAGGTGGCCTAACTTGCCAAGATCCCACCACGACCTCAGGCTGCCAGATCCCTGGCAAACTTGTCCCAGGCCTCCCCCGCCTGCCTTCCCACCCGACCCAGAGGCCTAAAGCCACGTAAGCCCCAGCGGGGTGCGGCGTCTCCAGCCTCAGGCCCTCCGGCCTCGCAGCAGGAACCCCTGCCTGGCCTCCAACGCTGGCGCCGGGCCCGCCGGGTCCGCAAGGAGGAGCCCGCGAGGCGGCCGCGAAGGGGCTGCGCTTACCTCACCTGGCGCGGGCGGCGGCCCCAGGGCCGGGGCTCCGGGTGGGCGCCCGGGGCGCCGCGCCCCCCGCCCGG